AGCATTCCCTTCAATCTGTACATTGGAAGATTGCTGGGGAGTATAGGAGGAGGTACGGCCGAAACCTGCGCTGGGTTGATAGTTTCGGGAATGTCAAAAGGGTGGATCACTTGGTGTGCAGAGGGGTTTCGGAGATCCCAGACAATGTTGAGGAGTAACATGCGGGGCAGGTTGTTGGATTCCAAGGACATCTTGGCTCGTGCTCGAGTGACGGCCATTCGTCCATTACATGGTACCGAAAAGCAATGTTGGGGACTGCATGAACGCCACAATGAAAGGTTGATGAGCTGGATGAGGTTAAGTGATGAGCCATGTGGATAGATTTGGAGAACGGTCATTTGCTTCTCCAGTGAGGATGTCTCTTGCCTGACAGGGACTGCGTGGGAACAGGGCTGAAAGACATATTCCCAGGTTACTCCGAATTGGAATGTGTTCCGAATCGGGTTCTGTTCAATGATCTGATTGAATTTGCTTGTCATTCTGAGAAACAGTTCACACGGATCATGCTGAGATTCTTCATCTATCAAGTTCTCACCTGCATATCAGCAAATGAACATGCTGATTGGCAGCAATGATGGAGGAAGGGAACTCACTTCGGAGGATCGGTACAATGTCCTTCAGATCCACCAGCCGTCTAGTTACCGAAATGGCTTTAAGAAAGTCACCTAGTAAGACAATCAAAGAAGGTGCGTGAGGCCTGAGAGCGTCATTAGCTTCGTTGAATGCGGACACGAAGGCTGGAATTCGGAAGACAATATGGAACAACGACAGAGCAAAACAGGATTGAAGATAATTCTTTGCTCCAACAGGTCGATCTCGTGGTGGTAGTGCGTCCCGAGGAATGCCAGCTTTTGTGGGGGCTGTCTTTTGGCGATAAGGATGCAGAGGGCGGTGAGCTGCTGGACGGCCACCCTTATCAGCCTCTGGTCTTGAAACCGGTAACGTGGCAGTGGTTGAGGGATGGTCGTCAGCATGGTTGAGGAATCGGTTTCGGCGGGTAATGGGCGAATCGGGCTCGACAAAATCAAGGTTGGCACTATCAATGCTGATGAGCTTGCCCTGTTTCGGAGGCTGCTCGGAGGACCAATCATGCCACACAGGCTCCGAAGGGTCATGTCCCCAATAGGCAACAAGGTCTTCTTGATCCAATGGATAAGATATCTCTCCCAACCGTCTTTGTAGTTGTATAGCTCGAGTCTGCAGTCGCAGTTCGTTTGCCGTGACACCATTAGAATACGTTTCGGAGGAGCCACAAGTGTGAAAGCAGTACAATGCCCAGAGACCCGAGCACCTTTTGCCTGTTTCGGTAAAGTATCTGCAGGAGCATCGTTCACGAGTTTTGTCTTTGATCCCACAGTAATGTAAGTCCGGTGTTGTTTTGCTCGATTCGGAGGATGTCACACAATATGTATGATCTAGTTGACCTCTCAATGACATAGGCATCTCGTCTCCGAAACATTCCCTAACCGCCCCTTGCTCCCAAAGCTCCAGTCCTTGAAGTATGTGTGACAGAACTGTGGGGTCACAGCGGGCAGATGTTGGTGGTGAATGGAGATACATGGGAAAGTAAACGTCGATGATGATTGTGAGGAGTTTGTCTATACGTTTGTTGGCTCGAGATTCAAGGAATACTCTGTCAAAGGTCCGAAATGCCGCTTCGACAAAGTTGTTTGTTGAGAGAGTACCATCTCGGGTGTGATGAGGTGGCAGACCATAGTCGACAAGGTATCCCCTCCATCTGTCGCTGAACCATTCAGACAGGAGCCAGGTTCTGATTTTGTCCCAAATTTCGGGATCGTTATTGCTGATTGCCGCAACATCGGCTTCTAGTCGAGCAAAAGCTTCTGACCAAGACTGCTCTTCGGAACATCGTTGGCACCTCCGAAGTGCCACAAGGAAGGCAAAGGCCTTTTCGGTACCCACCAGATCACTCCCAAATAGCCGAAGTGCTCGAGATCGGGCGGCGTGCATGAAATGGAATTGGCATAACCGAATTGGAGTTCCCGGGAAGACCTCCTCAATGGCCTTTCGTTCGGCGTCATCACAATCAATCATGAAATGTAGTGGAAGGAAATCCTCCTCGTGAATGTATTCGGCGTTGATGAGGATTTGCTCTTCATTCTCATATTCGGAGACCACTGATGATTTGCCCTTGAGTAATGCTTTCGCTTCTTTCTTGATAGCCTTTCGGATAACGCTCAAGAATTCGGTATAGGAATCGGTGTTGGCGTGATTCGAGACCATGACAGCTACTGGAGCATTGTCAGCTCCGAAACCCGAAACCCTTCAAACCACAGGACTCACCAGGGACCATATGACCATATTCATTTACTGTGGCTAGCAAGGTGACGGGACAGCGTATTGCATTCTTATTTCTCCAAGACGAATCAAGAAAGAGGCCCCGATCTGTGGCATGCCGAATTGCTGATTGCAATGCATGTTTCGGACTGATGATTGCAATGAACGAAGAGTCCGCTGGGAATGGCTGAGTGCCACCGAGTGCCAGGCCTTCAGGATATTCACAACTGACAGTCAGCTCATGAGGACAAGGAAACGCTGGCTACATACTGCAGGAAAGAGCTTGGATTGGCCTCATGTAAGATACTTATCGCCGCCAGTGGTAGCCGATCCAGCCTTTCCTGCCGCAGAGCCGTTCGGATGGCAGTTTGGAAGTCAGTGGTGGTAGGAAGACGCTCGGGATAATTTGCCTTGACCCATAGGACATAGGGGTGAATCTTGCAGAAGGAATTGTACCACCGAAGCCGAAGACGTGACTCAGTCGTTCCCACCAGAGTTGCAGCATCATGGAGTAGGTTTCGGAGATGTGGCGAAATCCGAAGTAATGTCAACGGGTTCGGTTGACCGTGATATGCAGCTTTCGGGCGGATCAGACAACAGACCCCTTTTCGGATATTGCTGGGGGTCATTCGTATCTAAGAAAATCAGCTTAGTGAAGATGAATCATCCTTATATGACCCACCTCAAGAAAAAGATCACACTTTAAACGTGCTCTTGAGGAATATCGTGCACTGGCAGCAGTTGGAGGGTGAGCTTCGGCTGTTGTTTGTGTTTCATCCTTTGCTTTCGGCTCAACATGGTGGTGGACACTGTTCAAAGTTGGCTGGATCTGGGTACAGTTGCCACTGCATCGGAAGATCGACCGAAACACTGTCCGATTCGGGTATGCGGCGACAGCACTGTCGGAGACAAAGAAGAGGCCATGTCTTCCCCTGATGTCGGCGGGTAATAAACCAGGGGGATCCAACCATTCCACTTGAACACATTTGGATATATGCTGGGTCTCAATGAGGTAGTCCTGACGCTGATATATCAACGGTTGTAACTCTCCAAAACAGAACACTGACCAAAGAGTCAAACGCTTTCGGGATATGATGAAAAGCCACCTCGAATTGTTCATAGCGATCATCATCCACCAGGTCAGGATTCGGTAAACGACAGAAGGTTTCCAAAGCACGTATGTTGACCCCAAGACTAGCGTCGGTGCGAGGAGCTTTGAGTGCCAAGAGTGGAGCCTCAGGACGTGGTACGGAGTATGATTCGGAAGAGATATTGACAATTCGGAAGCGCCCGGCCGCCTCTTGCCTAGCAGTGATGATCTCATCTTCTACCGAAATGGGATTCGGAGGTTGAGAGGGAGACCATTTCGGAACGGCAGCGGATAAGTTGGGTGCTGAAGCTTGCACGGCCGAAGACAATGAAGCGGAGGGGGAGGCCATGACCAGCTCTGTCCAGGGTACCGAATCTGGTGTCACAATACCAATACCGTTGGACGATGCAGGAGTATCTCCTGATGCAACTCTCCTGTCAGTTGATACATAAAGGGGATCCAAAAGTACTCACTGGAATCAGCCGTGGACAGGGGTATCTTGTGACCAGGAGACGATTTGGGAAACTGCTGTGAATGATTTACTGAGCATAAGCTTCAATGAACCCAGAGGAAAAGAAACTGCCTCACAGGCCACCGAATCCAAATGCGATTCCAGTCGCGTTTCGGAAGCAGGCAGGGAGGCAGAGGGGGTTGGAAGGAGATCGGGCTGAGCTACTTTATGACAAGGAGATGGAGAAGAAGCCCCTCTTGAGCTCAGCTGGGGTGGTTCAGGAAAGGGCGGCGGTTTGTTCACTGAGCATAAGCTTCAATGAACCAAGAGGAAAAGAGAATGTCTCACAGGGCACCGAAACCGAAACTGACTGGATCTCCGAAGCTGTCCTGTTGATAGAAGAAGGCTCAATAGGGTGAGAAGGACCGGCTACATAGTTAGTAAGGGGTGAGATAATCTTCAGAGGAGACACTGACATGTTGATGGTGATTGTGCACTAGGAGCATACACTTTCGGAGGTCGACCACGAAAAGGCGACTTTCTCTTTAAAGCGTTGAGAATGAGTTGATCAGCTTGATTATTCTGAGACATAAAGCTTGTGAGCTTAATTCAGTAAGTTACTATTATGTTTAAATCAATGGAAAGAAGATGATTGAAATAAGAAGAGGAGAAAAATGATTGCCCAATCACCGCCAAACAGTGCCTAGGGTTGAAGGACACATCCTTTCGGGGGCGTTTCCGAATTTGAACTCCAAATGGCTGTAGAGAACCAAGGACTCCGAATTCGGAGGTTCTGCCTGCATGAATGGCTTCAGAATACGTGTGGCAACCCATAGATATGCAAGAAGCCACGGTAGGATGCATATTCAATACAGGGGGGATTTGGGGACATTCCGTAGGTATTTGGGTCAGTAGTGGAGGGATCCTCGGGTTGAGTGACGTATTTTGGGAGAAAGTGGCAAAATTTCGTCGGGATTAATTCGAGTTCCGTCGGGATTATCCCTACGCGCCCATTCACCCACCCCCCTCAGTCCTTTCTCAACCTTTTCACCTCATTCCGCTCTCTCCTACGACTTTGCTCTTTACTCTTTACTCTTGCCCTTCTCCTCTCACTCTTAAAGTTCTGATCAAACTCTTGGTTGATCCCGCTGTTTTTTTGAAATGCCCGCTAAACGTGGTGACTCAGCTCCGGGTCCATCATCTCAACCAAAACGTGCCCGTTTCGCTTCCCCCTCTCCAGGAGCATCCTCTCTCTCGCCCGATGATGATGGTCTAGAAGCAGATTTACCAGAAAAAGAAAGGAAAAGAGGTCCTCAACATATCGGTAACTCAGGCTACGATTCCGATTCTTCAGCCGACGATGAAGGAGTGGTACCATCCCGTAGACCGAAACCTAAAGATGATGACGATATGGATATGTTCGCTGATGAACCCGCTTCGGATGCTGAGGACAATAAGCCTAAAGCGAAAGAATTCATGGAATTAGGTGATGTGGAAGGACAAGAATTTGATGATGAAAATGAAGATGAAGAAGAGAAAAGAGCTGCTAAGCGGAAAGAAGGTTTGGATGGGGATATGGGATTTACTATCACTCCTTTTAATATGAAACAAGAGATGCAAGAGGGAAAATTCACTGCGGATGGGGACGAATATGTGGAGAATGATCAGGATAAAGGGGAGAAACATGATATCTGGTTGGCGGATGTGGCTGAGGAAGATATCGAAAAGGTTAGAAAGGCACATGAAGAAAGAGAGAAATGGGAGAGGGAAAAAGAAGCTAAGGAAGCTGGGATTGGAGAAGATCCGAATGAGAGGAGAAAGAAGGAAGAAGGTTTGTTGAAAGATGCTGTGGGATTGATGGAAAGAGGAGAAACGGTTTTGGAAGCTTTACAAAGGTTAGGGAAAGAGGTTCAGAAAGAAGAACAGAGACAAGCTAAGAAGAAAAGTTGGACCGAGAGACAGAAAGAGAGGAAAGCAATGATGGCGAAAGATGAAGAGGAAAAGTAAGTCATACGTCTCTGATCATATCCATATAGTCACTCCATTCCCGCTGCTATGTCATTGTCTCTCTTATACATATCTTCTTACCTACTTATCATGTAAATGTCTGTATCTCCAAACCGTCAGAGAAGTGAGTGCGACTGGGAATGGGGCTCATCGTTCAGCGATCCCACACACACATCAAACCCATTCACAAACCTCTCCAACGTCATTTCTGGTCTCACAGCTCTGGGTCAACTCGACGTTTATTCTTTATCGAAAGAAAGTATTCAACGTATGCTCCCTTCTTCATCTACAAACGGATCTTCCAACCCACCACGAGTCGCTCCACCTCAAGATGACAGACAATTTCAATATCGTTTCTCCCTCGCTTACATGCGTAATCTACCAGAAGCTCAAAGACCAGTAGAAAGAGAATTATTCGGTATGTCATCTTCATCTTCAATCAATTATGTGTCACTCAACCTGATGTCAAAGGTCCGTTTGCGATCCAGCAACTACGTCAATGGCGGGGAACGGGGTTTTTCGGAGGACCAGAATGTGAGAATGTTGAACTTCGTCAAATGGGTACAGAAAAATGGGGTACTTGGTCGGAGATTGTACAGATTTAACGTTTTGGTCAATGGGAAATGCATGAATCATCTGTCTTTCTTGTTTTCTGTCACAGGCACCGAGTCTGTATCTTGATAGATGGGCATGTTATCTGGTCTAGCAGGGACCTCGATGACTTGGATGACGAACCTGAAAATCAGTCCCTTCGTTTATTTTCATAAATCTTCTACTCCTTACTCCTTCATGGGAATACATACGTCGTGTGAATGTAAATGAGAAAAACGTACCAGACCATAGAGACCCATAACACCATGGTCACAGCCAGTAAAATCAAAACGTGCATATTCCACTCTGTCAACACACCCAAACCCAAAAGTACGATCAGCAGGAGTAAGAAGGAGATATTCATAGCTATTTCCATCAGCTTTATACATACCATTGTTCAATAAGACGCTGACCCATGATAACAGCCGCATTGGGTCCTGGCTATATCGTCAGCGAGTCGCCAAGATATGACGAAGGGAGAAAGAGTTCAGACTCACTTCAAAGACAGATTTTACCAGAAGATTGAAGAAACCAGCTTCATCTTGTCTTTCTGTTTCTCCTTTCTGTGCCATCGTTTCTGGTGAGGGTGAAGGTGTAGGTGACATGGTAGTGACCATCTATGTTGCAGCCCAAAACTCACTCGCCACTCGGATTCCTGAAATGCTGGAGCGAGAAAACGGAGATTGTTTTCACCTCCGCGTCACCGCCAAAAAGTTGAAAACTGCACCATGCACCATCGCAACTGAAAATCTTCTTTTCTCTTTCACTTGACGGTTACCGGACTGCATTTTAGCTAGTAGGGGTCGTCCACTCAGCTAGTCTGAAGCTCAACCTAAGGGTAGAAGAAGAGTAAATCAAATCAGATGACTTCCCTTGCTACCCAACTCCAATCCATCGCTTCGTTAGACGCCGCCCGTCTGACATCCCGTTACGGCGCACCTGTCTCAAAATCATATCTCTTCCCACCCAAAGTAGCCGCTCAACATGATCTCGATGCTATTTTCTCTCTCGGACAATCGGGTTTTGAAGAGCTCTCGGCTCTCGATCCAGAGTTGGAACAATTCGAGGAGATTCTTTTCAGCGAGAGCGCAAAGAAGACCGATAGGATGATGTTGACCCCTACTGAGAACAAAGATTTGGATGTGGTACTGGAGAGATGTTTGAGACGATTAGGAAAATGGATAGGGATCATGGCTGGTGGTAAATGTATAGAGTGGTTGGTACGCCGTTTTAGGTGAGCAGCTTTCAATCCCTCAGACACCGCTCCTCTCCTTCATGTTCCTCTCTCATCTAATATGCCCGCTGATATAATCGTTTCACACTTGGTCCTCAGAATTGGATACGCACATAATTATGTGAGATAAATAGTGCACGCATGTCAGATATACGAAACAAAGAATCGAACTTACGACATAGAATACATGAAATGAACGTCGAAACAGTACTACAGGTCTTTCTTCCTTACCACGATTCTCCCAATTTTGCCCGGATGTTAGCCATCCTCACTATCCCTCAGACATCAATCTACCACGCTCCTTTCTTTTCTCTCGTGAAAGACTCTCAACCTATATATAGGACATACATTGCCAATTCTATCTCTCCCACTCGCGACAAATCTCTTCGTCTTCTACGTGATATATCTGGTATGCTCCGACAAGCCCTTCAGGATGGTGTCGTCCATCGGGCCTTGATGGGTTTCTGGACAGCTACATTGACTGAACTTCTTGAGAACTCTAGAGCTAGTAGACAAAGTCTTTCGGATGGGACTGTCAAAGTGCTCGTAGAGGCATTCGTGGAAGTGATGAGGTTCAAAGGTAGCGGTCAAGATGCCAATGTAAGTCATCTTGCAGACCAAGTTGTAGTTGGATTACGAACTGATATACAGGCTGCCGTCTATCCTCCTTTGCTCTTACTATGTCGGACAGTCAGACTGGCAGATGAACCTTTCTTAGTCATTCTCGAAGCTCTTATCACTCCCGATAGCGGGGCCAATCCTTCTCATCGTGTTCTCACCCTCATGGTCCTTCTTGAAGACAGGAAAGGACTTACCGGTGGAATGGGAGAGAAGGCGGGTGCGAATTTGGCCAGAATTGAAAAGCTCGGTCAGATCCTCATAGCCGCTACGGAGAAGTATTCATTGTCTTCGGCTCTTACCATTATCGTGTCGTGTATGGTGCATGAGTGAGTAATCTCCAGCCTTAAGAATCTCTTACTCATGAGTAGTATCGAGGGCAACTTATCAGCTCTGTCGGAACTTGCAGATTGGTTCGACATGCCGACTACTGTAATCAAAGGCATGACCGCCCAGCTCCTGTTACTCGGTTCAAAGATGGATTGTCCACCTGTTCAAAAACAGCACTGTGAAACTCTACTATCCAACTTATCCGAACGGCATCCCGCTATCGTCGATATTACATTCAGGGAGCTTTCAGCATCGCACCAGATCGACAGCTCTCTTATCAAAAGTGTGACCACCGAGGACGCCTTAATCAACGTCTATTCGGCAGACGTCCCTGCCCGTATCAAGGCTATCAAGGATTTGAAGGAGTTGTTACTTTCCCCAATGTCATCTGAGAGCATCCCTTCCGCAGACACGACCTCAGCTTTCAAGGCTCTCGTAGACCTTCTCGGCGACTCAAATCCAGAGGTTTTAGGCGCAGTTTATGATGCTCTTTCAGCGGTCATTGCTCAGATCGATATTCCATCATATGTCAAAGTCGTGAGGCCTGCTTTCCAGGGTTTGTCACCAGACAAAATCATCATTCGAAAGCATCTTGACTTCATCTCGAATCACCTTACTGGACCCGATCTGGATGATTTAATTTTCCAGCAACTTCTCTTCCCCTGTCTGCTTGTGCACCGTGCTCGAGACGTTTTCGACCAGAAAATCCAATTCTCATTCCCATTGGACTCCAACAAGAATTCCGATCTCCTTCAAGTGATGACAAGGACTTTCAGAAGTCTCGAGGCCTCTCCTGAACCCTTTGACTCAGAAACGATCCATTTGCTTATTTGCAAGGCTATCGCTGGTGAGTGCAGGAGACGAACGTAAGATCACCAACTGACAAAACAGAAGCCATGGTGGCTTCAGACAAGTTTGATACTCACCTCAATTTTCTCTTCTCGCAGCTGAAGGTGACCGAACCGGAATCCAGGCTTCTTTCCATTCTCATCCTCACCCGTCTCGTTCACGACCTCCGGGGTGAACATCAGGTCTCAATCGCCGTCCGTGTCCTTCGTGACGCACCATTATCATTCGCGGCTTCCACTCGTCAGTTTGATAACTCGGAACAGCCATTCGCGCCTGAACTTTTGTCTTTGATTGTGAACAAGTACGACAGTCCTCGGACCACTCAGCGAGCGATTTCAGGGATGATAGCTGCCACAAAGAATGTCGAACTCCCTTCTTCCTCGGGATTGACTTGGCTGGGCGAGCAAAGAAAGGTGAGCTTCTGTTCACGCGTCTGAGGTCTGGCTCATGGTCAGGATGCACCAACAACGACATACGGAGCATATGCTCGATCGCTTTACAACACGGCTAACGGTCGAAATCTACCTCCCACACTTGCCAAAGGCCTTCTTCGTCATCTTTTCACTCAGGTCGCAGATCAATCCCTGCTTTTCCTCGCCTCTGTATGGACCAGTTCAGACTTATCTTCTATCCGTGTTGCCGCATTAACGCACGCTCGAGCATTCATCGATGCCGCCACATCACCCGATGGTTCTTCCACCACAGACTTCCAGGTGATCGTCCCTGCCATATTATTGGCTGTGCAGGATCAAGCCAAGGAGATTCGTGAAGCTGCGGTAGAACTCCTGAGGAGCGTGAAAAGGTCACAACCTCTATCAGCAGCTTCGAACATCGAGATCTACGCTCTTGACAATATTTATGGTCTACGATCGAACATGATCCAGTTACTCAAGCAATCTGACCTGCGACAATATCTCGACATGCTACTCAACGCAAGCAAAGAGCTGATCATGGATCACAAAAGACTTGTGGTTCTGCACGCTTCTCAACCTGGAAGCGAAGGGAATAAGAAAGAGATCATGTGAGTGGTGATCTTCAGATTCAAAGAATCAGCTCAAGTTATAGACGACACAAACGATCAGTCATTTCTTGGCTTCTATCTCATTTAACAGCGTGGAGAAGTTACAGGGAACGTCTCGCTCTTCTCTCGACACTGTCGGGTATAAACGATGGAGGCGTATTCCGAGGTTCTTTACCGCTTTTGAAGTCGTTGCTTGAGCCCGCCAACGAAGAGAGAGCTTGGGTTGAATCTTTGGATCAATCACAAAGAACATCATACCTCGAAACCCTCACGAGATGTATCTCTCAGTCCGCGTTACCCTCTTTGTCGGATCCTGAAAGTGATGGCTGGACTTTCTTATTTTCCGCATTGACGATGACTCACGACGGTAAGTAACTTGTCCTGTCATAAACGTAGGGACTGATCAAAGCAGATGTAGGCAGATCCGTGCGATTCTTGACTTTACAAAGGGTGGCTGGTGGGGTTTTCAAAGGCTTGCCGTCAGAGCTCAAACGGGTTTACTTTACGGAGATCATTCGCTCTTCACTGAAGCTTGTAGGTAACGTTTGTGCGTGTGATGTAGGTCTGACAGATAGGATGACCCTCGACCATCTTTACAAATCCTTCGCTCGTTACATCTCGAGCCTGATGATTTGTCAGCGGTCATCAACAATTTAGGGGACAGATTTGAGACGCCGACCACGAGGAAGAAAGTGAAATCAGGTGATGACGCGTGAGTGTCTCCCAGATTACTGACCGTATCAGACGGCTGAGAATGATAGTTCATCTGCGCAAGTGTCCGACGCTGTCAGTGAATTAACGGTATTGTTCGATTCTCGCGATTGGTCAACCTTACCTGGTAACGTGTCACTTGTTGCCGCACTCATGGGCACACTTTCGAACCTCCTTACGAAGAAGCAACTCATTAAGGAAGGTATCGACTATCTCGAGCAAGAACTCCTCGGCGCCATCCTCGCTATAGTCTCCAAGATTACGGATCCGGTGGAGCTGCAGAGATCCAACGTCGGTATTGAAGTAATCATCAAGGTCATCAGAGGTAAACTCTCTTATCTTTCCCATCCTGTGGAATAAGCTAACAATGTAGCGTCAAACAATCCTCGAACCTCGGAAAGAGCGTTGTTGATAGCTTCCGAACTAGCACGACTTATACCCGATGCCGTGCTACACAACACTATGCCAATTTTCACCTTCATGGGTGCTTCAGACTTCCAACGAGACGACGCATACACTTTCGGTGTGGTGGAAAAGACAGTCGCTTCTATCGTTCCTGTGATGATACGATCCCTCCGACTCAAAGCGAGCTCCAGGTTGGAGTTATACACCGAGGCGAGCAGCTTTTTGAGTATTTTCACGGACATGTCCGGTCGACTACCGAAACATCGTACTTTGGCGTTCTTCGTACATCTCGTCACTAGTCTCGGAGCAGAGGATTTCCTAGCACCGATTGGAATGCTCCTTGCTGAAAAGGCCAATAAAGGCGGACGAAGCATCTCTTCTCAAGTACTGGAGTTACCTCTCAATATTGCGGCTGCTTTCGATCAATCAACACGGCTTGAAGCTTTGAGGGAAATAATGGATGAAACCCTTCGACTTTTGGATGATCTCACACCATCGGACAATTTCAAGAAAGCTTTTTTGTGTCATATTCCGAGTGATCAACCTCTCGATCCTCTCAGATCTATCCCGTTATTACTTGCCTTCGTGGCTGGTATTGCCAAGCAGTTGATCGGCAAATCATGTGATCAAAGTAACGTTGAACGAGTGGTTGAACAGCTGGTCGTTGTCAGCGGGAAAGTTGCCACACCACTTCTGGCCGAAACGGACTTGGATAAATCATCTAGGAAAGCTTTGGACGCAGTCATGCAGTTGTTATCAGCTACCAACTTCTTCGACGTTACTGTCAAATTACTTTCGGATGGGGATACAAAGGTAAGCTGGCCAAGGTGGAGGACAATCAGCTGACAGTCACAGGTTCAAAGAGTGGCTTTGGACATTTTAATCGAGAGATTACCATTGATCAAACCTGAAATCAGAAGCAAAAGTATTATATCCATGGCAGAAGTTATCAACCATACTTCTAATCTTCTCAATTCTTCAAGCGGTAATTCATCTTTGAATGCTTTGAGAATCATCGCTTCTACAGCTTCTTCAAGCGAGGACGCTTTCCTCGCTCAAGCCGTACCGAAAGTTCTGGAGGCAATAAAGTCTGGTAAAAAGTCAAGTTTCATCATTGGACTTCTTGGCCTATTAGACGTCCTCATGTGAGTGACTTGTGTTCTTCCTTGTATCTCTTCTTAGCTGACATGATAGACATCATCTCAAATCTCGTTACATACCTTATATCGCAAATACCATCAATGTCGTTCTTCCCTTAACTGATCACTCTTCACCCATTATTAGCAAAGAAGCATTCACAGTTCTCTCAGCGTTGATCGATACCGTACCTACATTCATCAATTCAAAACAACTGGGATCTTTGTTATCCAACTTTGTAAAATATCGAGAGAAAGATGCGAAAATCTCTTTGGGAGCAATCAACATCACTACCAAGAAAATATCCACGAAGATCCTTTTCCCGACTATATTCGAGCTTTGGAAAGGTGTACAAGAGATGAGTGTAGAAGTGAGCTACCCATTCCCGTAAGGAAGAAACAAGCTGACGTGCAGACTATGCAAGGTTTCTTTGACTTGCTCAGGTTAACACTCAAACATGCCGATAAGACAATACTTCCAAGTTTGATGAAAGGGATATTTGCTTTTTTCCTCGAAGTATTTGATCTACGTCATCAACTTCAACGACGTGAAATAGTACCAGAAGTCAGTATAAATCTTGATTGTCGAGATTGAAAGTAGGTGTAGCTGATCAGTAGGTGATCAATAACATAGAAGAATCAGCCATTGGTAGTTTCCTCGAATTGGTCACGAAATTGAGCGAAGCGAGTTTCAAACCTCTTTTCGTTCGGTTGTACGATTGGGCCGTGATTGATCTTTCTGAGGGTCCTAGTGAGTAGTCATTCACGTACAGGATTGTTTCCTTAGCTGATGACGGTAGATAAAGACGAGAAGAGGTTGGTTCAACGAAAGATTGTTTTGTTGCATGTTATGCAAGGTCTTTTGATCAAGTTCCGCGTGAGTCGTCTCAAAACTTGTCTTCTATCTCTCAATTCTCCCTCTCGTCCCTCAACCTCATCTTTGTCATTCTTGCCTCTCTTTTTGGCTTTTTGTCATTGTCTCATCAAGTAACAGCTTCAAGCGCCCGATGTGATAAAAAAAGGAATGAATACTCATGAACCAGCATCTCCTCTCACCTTACATGTCTACCCTTCTACCTCACATCCAAGAACTCCTTCAATCCTACTCTACCGGTCACATGACAAACTTAACACTCTGGCAACTCCTCCTTTCAACATTAACAACTTCCTTCCAAGTCGACGCCTCAACGTTCTACACCGATAAAATATATCTTGAACTCATCCCATTACTCATCTCACAACTCTCTATACCCACTCGAGACTTATCCGATCTTCTTATAAACCCCGAATCGCCCTTAGGTGATTGTCTCGCCCAATTAGCCAAATCAACAACGTCCGATACAGTCCTCAAAGCTTTGAACACGGCTTTATGCATCAAGACGAGGGATGATGAAGTGAAAGTGAGGATGTCAGCTTTGATTGTGTTGGATAAAGTTTGGGAAACACAAGCTGAAGAAATGTTGGGTTTGGTACCTGAGACTGTGAGCGAGTTTTTGGCAGAGTTGTTGGAAGATGAAAATTCGGATGTGGAGAGGTTGACTAGGGGTGTTTTGGCGAAGATAGAGAAAATGACTGGACCGTTGAAAGAGTATCTTGAGTAAATAAATGAAGACGATTTCAGTATTCAATGTTGATGTCATTCCTGTGCCTACTTGATCAATTTGTCCCTCACCGAAATTGGGCAAACAAGTTCTACTTTGTTTCATTCAAAGATGCCTAACCTCACCGAGTGAGTAGGGAGAGGGTGATCGGAAAACAGAGTCCTGCCCGTAAACGTCTTTTGACGATGCAAGCATGCATAGTAGGTGATACAGTACAACAAAGACTCAAGGTCATAGGATGCCGATGCGATAGCTTTACGAGTAAAGTACAGTATTGCTACACGATAGTAAAATTAAATGTCCATCAAATCAATCATGGTCCATTCAATGAACAAAACTTCCCATCTACCACCCAGTTCCACCAACACCCAATCGACGATATTCTACCAATTCACATTGACCTTTATGTCTCTTCACATCTTCACCTTGTTCCTCTTTTGTAGGATCTGAAGGATCAGGTATTCTCAACCTATACCAATCACCCGAATGAGTGATCACTACTAATTGATGTTCCACCTTCATCTTTGATCCATCATCCAATTGAACTTTACTCTTACCTTTTATACTTCCAGAAGAAGGTCTTCGATCTTGATTCTTCACTACTCCTGGCAAACGACGTGTATATATGGTATTCTGTTGAGTTGGGGTTACATTGCCTCCAATCGTAGGAGTTACCGTTCCGGCTCTGGGTGAACGTATAGTACGATCACTCCCACTTCCAAATGAACGTCTTTCTTCTCTATTACCCATTCCTACACCTAAGCGGAGAGGGTCGTCTTTGAACGCGATGCTGGTTTTTGATCTCGACTTGTTACTATCTTGTGCGATATGATGTTGATTCGGAGTGGTAGAAGAATGGGAAGGGTGATATAAATGAGGGGGGAGAATAGGGGATGAAGTTGATGTTGAAGGAGATAAGGGAATTTGAACTTTGATCCAAGTAACAACGAATCTTTCGGCCCATTCTCCTTGTTGAGCGCGTTGAGCTTCTTCTTTCATTTTCATACTCGGTACACGGGCGGCAGCAGCGGCAGAACTGATAGCTGATGAGAAAGCATGAGGGTTTTTTCGAGGGAGATGATATTGAGCGAAACTACCTGGGGTAGAAAAGTATCTAGGTAAGGGTAGGTTACGTGAAAGTAAGCTCGTGAGACTTGGTTGAGATGTAGGAGTAGAGCTTATTGTTAATCCTTCAGATCTTTTACGTCAAGCAAATGGTCCTCGTCCTTTTTAGTGATATATTAAATCATGTGAAGAGAAAAGGAGTTCGAGAGTGTTTGTGAATAAACTCACGATCTTGATCCTCCAGTAGACTCGAGAGTTACATCAGGTCCAAAAACATGCACAGTACCTTTATCACTCCATCCCACTAAACGTCCTCCTTTGTCCATACTCTCATCACGATCCATCTTCTCACCTGATGGTAAGGGTAAAACTCCAAATTCAAACTTGGCCCCCCACATTCGGACCGGATCCATCCCACGCCGATATTCCCTCTCCAATCCTCCTGTAGTCGTATCCCATACTCGGACCAACGTGCCGAGCTCACCAGTAGTCAGGATATGTGATCCATTGGCGGTACATGCTAAAGTAGATAACGGGTGATCATGAGCGAGAATAATCGGATTTCGAAATGTTTGACCTTGTCTATGTCCACGTTTTCCCGAGTCTTGAGAAGGATTCGTAATTTCTGACGCTGGAGGAGGACAAGGGGGAAGATTGTTTAATTGCACGTGTCCCGCTTGTCTACCGGGAAGAGCCAGTAAAGTTGAGCCGGTGTTTGTGGATAACGCCATGAGACCTTTAAATCAGTCCAATCATTCTTTAAATACAGATAGATGGGAAAGGTTTGGGAAATACGAACCCAACTCGTTCTCCGCCGTTTCCCATTCACCAATCTTATGAACCCAGAAACCTGCTTCTTTGCCTTTACCTTTAACATCCCCTTGGGCAACTTGTCGAATACCATATTCAAAAGCTATTGCTCTGTGTGATAGCGCTACACAAAAAGTTGATCGACGTATGGCGACATTTCTCACTCTCTCCCTTATCGCGTCAGCTCCTTTCACACCATCCCAATCACCTCATTTTAAGCTATGAGAAGACTCACTCAAATTCCAGCTCTGCAACTGCAATTCCAAGACCATCATGATATATTATGACTTTGTTGGGGGAGTATACAGGTGTCCGACCACCTCCTTGGAGCACCAACAAAGGTCCATCAAGGAGAGGGACCACTAACGCCAGGGTACCTGATAGAACTACTTGTCAGACTCGTGAGCAAGCAAAGCATATAAGAGAGACTCACTACGACGACGAACTATGACAAGTGGATATGTACGCCATATCTCGTATCCCGTCTCGGTGGCAATGGTAAACAATCGTCCGTCCGGGGAGAAAGTGATGGAGAGTACGGGAGCAGGACGGAGGGTAGAGACTTGAAACCTGCCGAGCTGCATGGCGTCGGAGCAGGGTACATGGGGAAGTTGTGAAAGCTGTGAGAATTCAGATGGTTGAGATCATGAGCTGATGGGAGTTTGTTGATGATGAGGAAGATAGATCGATTCGAGGTTGAGACGAGTAATTGAGCGATCAAGCTTTGAAGCGGAGGAAACAGGTCCGAAACGAGTGGCAAAAAAGGCGGCGATCGCCGCTCACCTGCAAAAGTTGCCTTCCCTCAAAGCCTTTGCCTTTGTCTCTACTTCATATTCCCTTTTCCAGCGCATTCAACTTGCCACTGGTCTTTCTCTCAATCCATAGTTGCTCCCAATCGATAGAAATATCCTCGATAAATCATGTCCGACGATGAAATGGGTCAAATGGGAGGGGATGATGTCGGTGAAGATTATTTCGAAGATCCAGACATGTTAAAGTGAGTTTTCTCTCACTCCTGTCCCCTTCAGTCCGTCCATTTCGACCCTATCACCTCCGATCCCACACAGTGTCATCAGAAAGTTCAGTATCTTCGCTCTCACTTATTAGGAGTAATATCGCATCCTTGAAAGCATTTAGCTGAGTTCACTTTAGCTACGAAGAAGACGCCGAACCAGACGAAGAAGCAGAAGGCAACGAAGTGGACCCGGATAATATCATAGAATCCAATCCACCAGAAGGAGAAATGAGACAACGTACTGGAAAAGCTGCAAAGCCCAACGAGACAAGAGTGACAACACCATATATGACGAAATATGAGCGAGCTAGGGTGTTGGGTACGAGGGCTTTGCAGATCAGGTGGGGTTTCTATTTATCTTCTATACCGTCGTAAATACCCTTTAGTCATTCTCTCTTCGGTTGAGGACCCATCATCATATCCTGAATTACTCTTGTAGGAGCGGATGCTCCATATCCTTTTCTCAGGGGCATGTTGTCCAGTAGACGTTGATCGGGGAGAACTGGATGTCCAGGAATAAACTCAGAAAAGCAGCTTATGGACAGTATGAACGCCCCTGTACTCGTACCTGTCGAAGGGGAGACAGATCCGTTGGAAATAGCTTTGAAAGAATTGGCTCAAAAGAAAATTCCTCTAGTCATCAGACGTTATCTTCCAGGTCAGTCTTCCCCCTAAATCTCTTTCACTATTTTACTGGCTCTTCAAACGATAATTGAAATGAAAGTATGAGAAGCTGAGAGATAGATAACTCGTTCGAAGATTGGAAAGTGGAAGAACTTATCGTACAAGAATAATCCGTCGTTTTTCTTTTTCTTTTGGTTAGTTATGTGAAAATTACATTGTATGCATGCAACATAAGACCAAAACAATAAAACGACAAGTTGAAGATCATTTTTTCTCCCATCTATCAACACCCTACGAGCACAATTATAAACTATTATTGAGTGATGATGCTACCGAGGAGATACAGGATCTCACAACTACTAACACTCCAGGTGAGTCCCACGTGATAGCTGAACATGGACATCATCTATATTATCACCCTGCATGAAACTCATATCTTCCATCGTAGATTGCCGATATATGTCCATCCGGAACGCTTGAGTGGAAGCGAGATGATGTGCTTGGCCAAATAACTTGAGAGCGGAGATTATACATTCAATATCGGCGTCGATTGGAGCGGCGGCTACATGAGATCAGTATTGATGTTTCAAGTCATCTCACTCGGCCCCAAAATACGCCGATCGAAAAGTTGACGATTTTTGAATAACCACCGGACATTGTGACATTACTTTTGACAATGATGAGGAAGGAAGGAGATGATATCAGAAATGATTTCTTCCACTCACCTTCCGTCTGACCAAGATGATGCAGCCTTTTAGACTCTCTGATTAATATTTTAACAACAAAAGACCAACTACTAGTCAGCACGAGGACTCAAGGTGTCTACAACCACTCACGTCATCACTATGAACACATCAAAATCCGCTCTCATAGTTTCCGCAGAAATCCGACGAATAGTACAAGTCAATCGTCTAGCCACACCCACTGCCAGGTGATTCTCCGCATTGAACCTTCCCATCAGCTTCACTTCCAACCAGAACATCATGTGAAATGATGAAAGAAACTGACGAATATATGTCCCAGAGAAACATCCATGCACAACCCAGTACAAAATGCTGAAACATCAGCTGATACATTACGCTTGATAAAATTATCAACTGACCATTGACGCTACGTCTTTCTTCGATGGACTATAATGCCAATCTTGAACTTTCCCATCCCATTTCTCCCAATTCGTCCTTCTTTCAGGTGGTAGATCATTTTCTATTCTCAACAAAGCCAGACGAATCTCTTCGTATGCTTTCGGCGTTCGGATCCTAGCGCATCTCGTCCATCCTTGCGATCCACTGGGATTCTTCCCATCTTCACAAGGGTGTGTGTCGGTGGCTTGTGAGGCGTTGTACTCTTGAAAAGATAGATATTCGTCTATCCCACCCATGGGTGAAACTGAGCAACTTCCATCCCGCGTACGTTCCTGCAGTCCAGGTTCAGGTTTTAGATACATGAGTTTGGAAGACTTTTCGAGTAGTGCGATGGCTCGTAGACGAAGGATGTAGAATGTGGAATCTGCGTAGTGCGGTAATGGTCCCTCGGAAGGTTCGAACAGTTCCGAGACTGTCTTGTCGTCATCCTTGTTCACCAAGCCCTGTAGGTTAGAAAAATCACTGTGTACAGTTTGAAAGTGAACTGACCAGTTCGTAATCGTGCAAAGGCTTCGGGTACGGAGTGGTCACGCTTTCATCCTGTATTGCAGGAGGCCACTGTGAAGCTATTGATCCACAACGATCGACGATGTAGATAGACCAACTGATACATTTAGTATCTACTCTGTAATCACCAAAAGAATGAGGAAGCTCACAAAGCCCAAATGCGTTCTCCTAGATCGATGGCATCTTGTGGAGGAGGAAGAGCGTAACTTCGATGTCTCATTATACTGACTAGATCACCTCTCTGATCTCGAGGTACAGGACTTGGTCGGAATACGCTAGACGGGATTTGATGTAAACCGCATGAGATGGCCAATCTACCACATCAGACTTCACTTGCACGTCGTCCTCACAGATGACTATGGTGGAAATTTGACTTACCGTGCCGCCAAGCCAGTCATCATCCATCCTTCATGATACCGAGATTTACTGAATTGATATACGGCCAACATGGTTGCAGCTCTGACAGCATCAAATAGCCGATCAGCAAGACGGATAGATTCATCGAGCTGCTTGGAGGCAACGGAGAAGAAATGGGATTCGAGAGACCTTATAGAAGGTGATGTGGAGACCCTAGAGGCTAGGAGATACATCGTATGTAGTAGAGATGGATGTGGGCGTTTGCTGGGTGGTAAAGAGAGACTAGTCGTTAGATGATCTTCCAATACTGTCTAGGAAAAGCCGACCTAGCGAAAAAACGAGGAATGTGGAATTCTTGTCCAAAAATCCGCATGCTGGAGAAGAATAGATCTAGTCTGAGTGTCAGCATGCGCAAGTCAAGCAATTGAAAGGGCTGACAAATGATCCCTTGCTACTCTTGGAAGATCGTTGACATCGAACCATCCTCCGACCAATTCCAGAGCTGGGCTCTCGTTCAATCCTCCATATTCCGCGCCGGAGAAAGCCTTTGCAGTGGAATCTGACTGGAATGAAGGTATATTTTGCTGCAGGTTTGCATAGGAAGATTCGTTCGGTTGAGTGAAAGTGACCTGTTCATTCTGTTGATGTAAAGGAGCGGTGTAGGGGCTGGGATCGGTGGACATCGAAGACCTCGAATCTCCTGATACAGGCGTGACATTTGATTGTGAGCTTGAATATGATGGAAAGGTGGTGTCCTCAAGATTTGGAGGGTGCGACTCTTGCTGAGTAACACTTGAAGGAGGTATAATATCATTGAGAAAGGCCTGGGTACCAGGAGTGATACCTTCCATAGCAAACGCAGAAGGGAAAGCGGATCCACTTTGCGGCTGTGTTGGTGGGGGCGGAGGGGGAACCGACAACTGAGTGGTTGTAGTTGAAAAAGAGTTTATGAGACTGAGAAAGGTAGGATCCAAACCAGACCAATCAAATCCCAACACAGCATCTGATTGAGCCAGCTTTGGCATATTCTCCATACCTTGTAATCCATTTCCCATTATCCCATTTCCACCAAAAAGAGATCCCCCAAATCCAAAACTCATCCCAGTCGATGTATCTGGCATTGCTCCTAATTCGTTGATACCGTTGAGGTCAAAGGTTTCATTCTCGGTCCATCCATCTTGTTCACTAGATCGTCTTGAAGCAGATGCTGTCCGTGGTTCGACATCTCCTACGCCTACACCTCCATGTCGGAGTAGATTCTCCAACTCTGACACCTTGTCTTCCAATTGACGGACCCGACTGACGGGTTTACCATTATCGTAGATACACTCTCTTTTGAGTTTCTTGCAATGATCACAGGGATCGGGTTTGTTACCTGAACACCGTATACGACGTTTACGACAGTAAAGACAGGCATCTCCACGCTGTAGGGGTAGCTTATGAGATGATGAAGATGAGACATGAGTGGAAGAATCGTCTTTGGGCATGATTGTATATGTAGATACCAGTTCCAGTGGAGAGTGATAGCAAAGTGATCAAGTGCGGCAACTTGGAGTCGGCAAGTGACCTCGGCCCTCGCCGCCTCGGGGTTGGTTCCATCTGTCTCCGACGGAAGTAAGTCTTTGACGTTTCCCACGTGGTTTTCAAGAGCTTCGAGGGCGACTTCGATCTCTTGCTCGTATCCTGGTTCCACCTTGCAGCTTGGACACAGGATCTCTATACATTCACACACAGCTTCTCAACAGATCACGGCATATAATAAACCGTATACAGCTCATCATGTCGGAAGTATATCAGAAGAAAGAACTTCTGGCATTGATGAGCACAGGAGCCAACAAGCGTGAGTAATCTGTGACTTCAATCACCAGTTGGCTTCACCTTTACTCGTATCTCTCGTATCAAAGTTGAAGGACACTAATCAATGCAGAATGTGTAGATTGTAATGCCCCATCCCCTCAATGGGCATCTGTGAGCTATGGGACTTTCATCTGTCTCGAATGTTCCGGTATACATCGAGGTGAGTCTTTTCGATCTCTGCTCAAAGGCCCATGCTCATGAAGACAGGTTTCGGCGTTCATATCTCATTCGTCCGTAGTATCACGATGGACAAATGGTCCGAGGACCAATTGAAAAAGATGAAGATGGGTGGTAATGAAGCTTTCAATAGCTTCATGGATGGTTATGGACCTCAGGGTGGGTATGAGAAAGGTATGGGAATGCAGGACAAGTATAATTCTTGGGCTGCTGCTCAATATCGGGCCAAAGTGAGTGCTCTCCTTAGCTCTTACCCTCCGGCCCATCTTTCTTTTCTCTCTCTTTTTGTAGTGTCACTTACTCAGCTCGTAAACTATTGCTGTTCTTTTCTTAAGCTTCATACATACTCCATATGGGATTGAATGTATGTAAAGTTGACCAAGTAGCTCGCTGCGGAATGTTCTGATCCCCCTCAACCTTGGTCTCCTTCACCTCCACCTATCGACCAACCTTCACGTCCCGCATCATCTCAAGCCACGCGTAAATCCCGCGCTGGTCAATCCATCGGTCCCTCTTCTCTCTCCTCTTCCAATCCCGTATCCCGTACAGGTTCCCCTTTACCTGGAAGTGTAGGAGGTAACGAAGCCTTCTTCGAGCGAATGGGCAATACCAACGCCTCTCGTCCAGATCATCTTCCTCCTTCTCAAGGTGGTCGTTATTCCGGTTTTGGATCCACACCAGAACCAGAACCAGATTACAACCCTGCATACAGCTTATCTTCTCGATCGGTACCTACCATAGGAGAACTTCAAGCCAACCCAGTAGCTGCTTTGTCTAAAGGATGGGGAGTTTTATCTTCTGTCGTTGCTATGGCTGGAAAAGGTATCAATGAAGCTGTTGTCCAACCTGGTTTTCAACAAGCTAAAGGATTAGCTCGAGATGTTCAGACGGGTCAGGGTAACGAAGAATGGAGAAAGTATTTACAGACCGCTGCTGTTGGCGCCACTCAAGCAGGGGGATGGATAGGTCAACGTGCAGGTGAAGGATGGACAGCGGTTAATGGATTAGCTAAAGAGAAAGGAGGAGTAGATTTGAATGAACAACTGGGGAAACTTGGTCTGGGAAAAGGAAGAGAACAGGAATATGGAAGATTGGAAAGGGCAGAAGATGGCGTGTTGAGTTCTCATGGTGCTGGAACGGATGACGACTTTTTCGATTCGTGGGATCATCAAACTTCCAGTGCTGGTCCATCGGTTTCGAGTCCATTAGCTCCCAAACCTATGGGTGATGCTGGTAAGAGTGCTAACAAGGGTGGATGGGATGATGATGAGTGGAAAGACTTTTAGCGAGTTTCAGTGACGAGGACGATTTAGCGCAGTCTAGGCATATACATACAGTTCATTTTTACAACGAATGCGATGAGAGATTTCTATGTAAAGTTTCATGCCTTTTTTGAATTGTTTTGTATTACTAGCTCAGGTACCAAAGCACCTACCACTGCGTCTAGTGTCATCCCTACTAAATGGGCATTACAGCTCGTATCGCTGATAGGAGCCAGGAGTCGTGTTACATGAGCCGGTGAAGGATAAAAGACTTTGCTGAGCGTGGCTAGAGGTAAGTGCGACAGTATGACAAATCAGAATAACTAACGAGGAATGACTTGAGCTATTCTTTGTTCCGCTCGGAGTCTGAGATCCTCCGCTTCATCAGGCGTGGGATTAGGAGGGGTAGGCGCAGGATACCCGTCTAAAGGGAAAAGTATCTTTTCTAGTAAATCACATGTTGTCAGAGCATTCTGACTTGTGAGGAGGTATTCGTTGACTATGTGGGGTAATAACCGTCCGTTCAGCTCTTTATCTTTCGAAATTATTCGGAATTTGCATCTTGACTAGTAGCTCAAGGCCATGCGTGGAAATGAGGGGATCACATCGCAAAACAGATAGAACGGGAGGGTGAAATTCATGTTGAGATAAGACTCACCTGTCAATGATGGGACCCAAGAGATTCACAAACATCTCCATGGATCCCCATATCAAACGTCTATGCCAAATCCTTTCCTCGTCCACCCCCAAAATCTCCCTGATCACACTCAACCAAATCAAATGACATCCATCATACCTTTCGTCCCTACTTGTCTCAGAGTAAAGGGCTACCACTCCCGTCGCCCAATTCCAAATACCTAACAGAATTGTCCATAGACGTACGAAAAACGCCCATATATCTTCCGTCGCTGTTGTCCTCTCCTTGACCGCTGTCTCTTTGACTGAAACGCTTGACTTTGGTTCTCCGAGAAAACGAAGGATGATTTGATACCAAAACCAACCTTCTACCAACCGACGACTTATGGCTCCTAATACCGCCCGGCCTAGAATTTCGCGTAGAATGGGACTTTCCACTTCTGATTGAGTTTCTATAGGAATGTAGAGTTTGGTCAAAGAGTCCGCTAGAGCAGTCAGGTATATAGGGGAGACTATGTATTCCGCATTTCCCAGTAAATCTTGTTTTTCTCCCTGTTCTTCCCTGTTATCTTGATCTGATGTAGTAGGAGGAGAGGGGGTATTGGAGGGTATGAGACAAACAGATAAGAGTGGAAGACGGGAATGATAGGCTTCTCCCGGGGTTTTTATACCTGGTAAAGGAGACAAAACATTCCGAGCTTCCAGGGATTGTCGAAAGGTTCGAAGATGTATAGATATAATGTTGGGTAGATCAAGTAGTAAGAAGATGATGATATTTGATGGATTACTTTGTATAGATGTTAGGATCGGTTGAAGGATAGGTCGAATAATTTGAGAGTTGATGATTGGTAAAAGAGTTCGATCTCGAGGGGAAAGACGTGAATACCATGAGAGGACGTAATAACGAAGTGCGAGAGCAATGAGGTGATGTATTCTATGAATTCATCAGCCTATCTCGATCTGTTTGAGTAGAGTAAATAGGGGGAGGACTTACCGCTCGTTCAGCAACACAATTTCAAGTGTATCTCCATCGAGGAAAGGTGGTACGGAGAGATAAAGAGGTGCTCGGGGGTATAACAGTCGACGGTAGAGAGGTAAATGGACAGGATCTTTTTGTACCGCAGGGATAGAACGAGTCGGCCGGGGAGGGAGTCGAGGGGGAAGAGGAAGAGGACGAGAAGGAGGCATGGTCACATTATCATCCAAGTAGTTTACTTGTAGTAGTGTGAGAACCTCTCCCACGATTCCACAATCCACGAATTCACGAACATCCTTGGCCTTGCGTCGATCTTTGGGACATCGGCGATCGCCGATCAGACACCAACCAACCTCACTTTCCCATGTAAAATATCACATATCTTGTCAAGAAGACTCAATCCTTCGGCCGAATATGTATGAAACGTTAGTCTTCGAACCTCGTACTCCCATTGTCTGCGTCAAGTCCCCGTCGTCGTCGGCCGTGAGTGAATAGCAAAAGCTGCTTCGATCTACAGTCCACGTCCTCGAACCCGATAGCCCGTAACCCGATAATTCCTCCAACCCGATAGATTTTCAGTGATACCGAGTAGGTTTGCAGGAGATTTCATGTGACCCCGGTACCAGGTACCCGATAGTGTCAAGGCTGAGATTATCGGGTTAGAGGACAATCCTTGGTAGGGGAGGAAGAGAAATAGGCCCGCGAAGTCAAAGGCGTGGAATAATATCCCCAAAATAGGCGTGCACAGGGGCTTCTGGGACAGAATAGGCGCGCCAAACTGTCTCATGTGACCCCAAATTAAGTGGAGGGTTCACTTAAGCTTTTCCTCCAACCCGTTAGGTCCCTCAAGGCGATAGCTCAAAGCCCACACCGAGCCTATCGGGTTAGAGGACGCGGACTGTACCCTTCTTTTTCACACGATGTGCAAAGATCATCTTACAGGCAAAAAGGAGATGATGTTCTCATGCTACACAGCTTTTTGGAAGTGGTATTACATGAGAAATGACCTGGAGATCCAAGTGCTATAGGGCTGTACATGCAGAATGGAGCTCAAATGTATATGCACCGCCTACCACCAGTTTCTCATGGGGTTTTGACTATATAAGAGGTAGCAAAAATGGTAGGTATAGACTGATATAACTCTCACATTTCACAAATCGAGTACTAAACTATGGGAAGTTGTCCAGCAAGCAAATATACCTCCTCGTTCACTGTCCAACCCTTTCAGGGCGACCAAGAAAAGTACGCGGAGCAATCATATGTGAGTCTCAACATCACTTTCCCATCGTTGAAATCCCTGTCTCTCACGAATGAACCGGACTCAACGCTCACCATGACCGCGGAGTACCAACATCCACGTCGACTCGACACGGTCAATGTTCGAAATACTCTCTTTGGCAACGAGTCCCGCTTCAAATGCTTCCAAGAATCCCTGAGAATGAACCCGGATGGTGGTTGGCCATCGGCTTTTGAACCCTTGAGAGATGTATGGGGGCGGCTCATGGAAGAAGACTATGGTAGTAGTCAAGGGGAATGGGCCGCGGCTCTCCGCTCTGTCCAGCGAACACTCCAGAGCGCCGCACACGCGATACATATGCAAGAGAACATCTACATTTGCGATCCGACCAAGGGGTCGAGGGATCCAACCATCCAGTGGGTATCCACGAGGGTGGTTGTCAGAGGAGTAGCAACGGACTTTGATGAGTAGTAGACAGTCTAGACAGCCACTCTGCAGCCATGCAGCCATCACGCGACTTCCGAGTGAAAGTTCCGATGCATGACATCTGAATGATAGAAAAGCTCGAAGCATGGTGCCCTGGTGCTAGCTGCTAGCCGCTAGCTAGCCGCTAGCTAGCCGCTAGCCTGCTTGAATGAGCATTCGCAAGCGCGCAGCCCGCACCAATCGCCGTTGTACTACGAGGAGTAGCACTACTCGTACTTATCGGAACACGTGACTCCTGATGGTGTAGCACATCAATAAAACGCCGAAACGCCGTCGCATTGTTTGTACTTCGCCACCCGTTTGAACTTTGGAGATATAAACCCTCCCTCTTCCCCCTTACCCCTCGTCATCACTTCTTTCAGTCAATCACCCCTTAACCCAACTCAATCTATAAACAATGTCCGGACGTGGTAAAGGTGGCAAAGGTCTCGGAAAAGGTGGTGCCAAACGTCACCGCAAAATCCTTCGTGACAACATCCAGTGAGTCATTCTTGTCTGATCTTCCCCTAAGTTACTTTTCGTTTCTAGCCAGGAGAAACGCTCACGATATAGGGGTATCACAAAACCTGCTATCCGTCGTCTCGCCCGTCGTGGTGGTGTCAAACGTATCTCTGGTCTTATATACGAAGAGACTCGTGGAGTGTTGAAAATTTTGTGAGTATTTGTCTTCACTCCCTATCGTACAGTATCAGTCGTGGGAAGGGGGCGAAGATGGGAGCAAAAAGAAACAAAGCTTACGTCTCAGCCTCGAGAATGTCATTCGTGACTCTGTCACTTACACCGAACACGCCAAACGCAAGACCGTCACATCTCTCGATGTCGTCTACGCTCTCAAGAGACAAGGTCGCACCTTGTATGGTTTCGGTGCTTAAATGTGGGACAGGAGAGAAAGGAGGAGATATTCGTAGCTTTCGTTTTGTTTACTGCTCTCGCTCCGGCGATTGATGCATTGAATATGTTTGAATTTCGTCCATATCACACCCCTGGTCCCCCACCTCACTCGGCCGTCACTCGCTAATCAAGAGGAACCCGACTTCGTCGCCACCGTACAGCTCGGACTTGAAATAGAAAACCCTGCTGCGCGTTGCGTGTTGCATAGTTGTAAGCAAAGAAGGATGCATAGTGTAGGGTTCGACGTTGCAAGAACGTAGTACCTAGAGGGGGCACTATGGAGTAACACCATCCCCTGTTGTCAATTTCAAGGCTGGCAAGGCGACCCTCATTATGAGGTCGATGAGAGGGAATCACTACTATGCAATGCATCCATCCAAACCTACAAGACCACGATAGTATTCGGGGTGTACCTCTTAGTGTTATACACGCTCTTCCCGACCTCCCAATTCGGTACATCCTTCATGATCTCCTTTTCACGAGCTACAGCGGCTTCATGTCGTCTGTAGGTATCACGATCCTGTTCAGCTAATATGAGGGGGACTAGGTGTATCCGTGACCAAGCGAGTTCACGTTTAAGTTCTCTGGCGTATCAGTTGACCGACTTCATATCGACGTACACCTCATTCCGGCAAAAATCAAGTGAATCATCCTCCCCCGCCGACCCCTTGAAGATGTAAATGGTAGATGAGAAGGCCAATTGAACTCCCAGTGGTGATCGGAGTGAGAAATGCATATTGTCACCCAACTCAATCACAGATCAAGAGCTTCTCACGAACAGGAGTTTGGAGGATGATGGGTGAATGGGGAATGCAAGTGGAAGCGGCACATGTAAGGAACGACGTTCAGAAGTGAGAACATGGACTCACCTTTTCTCTAAATTCCCTTGTCCGACTCGATAGAACCCGAATGCACATATAAGTCCCACTGCACCGAAAATGACAGCTCCCCCAGGTCCACGAATAGGAAGGTTTCGTTTATATTTGATAGCTTCGTACCCTCCCGGAGGGGGCATATCCCTGTTGATTAGCAGTGTTTCTCTCAACAACATGTGTCCCTTTTCAGAGGATTGTAGAACGTACTGTCTGAAGCCGTGCGACATGGTTGTATGCTTTTTCAACTTGTGATTTTCAGAGCAACATGCACACTACGCCATGCATCATGCACCATTAGAGGAAAGGAAGATATATTATTTTCTCTAATTTTCTTCATTTTCTCCGAAAAAGTCTATGGATCTTTGGCAGACCTTGTCTATGCTGCAACCGCAACCGCGACCTAGCTACTCATCATGGGTAAGAAGGACCGAAAAGTGGGCAAGGGACCCAATGCCTTCTCTTCCTTTTCAAAGAAACAAGACGCAAAAAATGAAACATCTCTGCCTAAGCTCGATAAGGGAAAAAGCAAAATCAGTGATGAACTTCGACAGGCCGTCAAGGATCTAGGAGGGGATGATAGTGATTTGGAGCTTATAGCTGGGGTGGATGAAGATGGTGAGGACGAGTGGACTGGGAATGCTGGAAAGAACTCCGAGGTGAGCCATTAATCTCACTCGTGACTACAGCTGATGTTCAGAAGGACGTCAAACAAGCTTTGAAAGAGTTCATGAAGGGTCTGGATTTTGGGAATGTGCCCGCTGAGGAGGTAAGCGAAGATTCGGAGGGAGAGGTTGATGCAGAGAGCTCGAATGATGATGAGGATGTAGAAGAGGAGGAGGAACAAGACGATGAAATTGACCATCCCGAAGCTGAGGAGGAGGAGCAGGACGACGATGACGACGACGACGAACAGGAATCAGTGGAGAAGGAAAAACCCCGTGCATCTGTCAAAGCCCCCGCTGCCCCAGAGAAGCCCAAAAAAGTCGCAACGGATGAAAAGGTTGACAGATCTCCTACCAGTGGTTCAGTACGTACATCACCTTTCCCCCGCCTTTTGACGATATTGACGATCCAGACAGTCCCCGCTGCCCCTTCCTGGCCATCCCTCGTCCCTCCTCTCCCCACTCCGTCTGCCCCTTTGAAACCATTGCCCGCTTCCAAACTCAACACTCTTCGTCAACGTGCCAACCATCTCTTAGATACTCTAACTCCACTCAACAAATCTTCGTCGTCCTCCGATGCAGCTTTCATCTCACAAATTCTTCAATCAGGTACCCATCAAGATAAACTCGCTGCCCTCATTTTGCTCGTCCGTGAGAGTCCCGTGCATGCCGTAAAGGAGCTCAACAGACTCCGTGCGATGGCAGGATGGAAAGAAGATGCTGTAGGGGCAGGTGGGGGGAATAATGATCAACGTGTTGCTGTACTCAAAGCTTTGGCCGACTGGTGGATTACTGGTGGGGGTAAGGAATCTGGCAAGCTAAAGTGAGTCTAGAGCGCATATGTCGTCTCAGTGGAGGAAGATTGATGGAATTCAGGTATTTCGCGGATCAACCTCTATTAGCACATCCTCAAATCAGTGACAGACATTTGTTGTTATATGCTTTCGAAGATTATCTGAAGAAATGGTACTTCAACATACTTCAAGTCATTGAGGTAAGACTAGCTTCGCTCAGATGATAACAAGCTGACAGAAACAGGTTTCTTCACATGTTACTCTCCCTTTCGTAAGGATGCAAGCACTTCATATCATCTTTCAACTCCTCCAGGGTAACGCGGAGCAAGAACAGAATCTTCTCCGTCTAGGAGTCAACAAATTAGTACGTTCGACCTGCTGGATCTCAGTCCATACTGATACTTCAGGGTGACTCGGACAAATCGGTGGCTTCACGAGCATCATATCATCTTCTACAATTACTTCAGATACATCCCAATATGAGAGCTGTCGTTGCTCGTGAAGTCTCCACACTCGTCCTGAAACCTTCTCCCGGAGCTGGTTCCACTCCCTCATCCTCCGCACACGTCCGATTCGACGATGATAAGAAGAAGAAAAACAAAAAACCTTCGAAAACCGAAACTACTTCTCACGCCAGATACTACGGTTTAATCACTCTCAATCAGATGACACTCACCAATAAAGATAAAGAAGTGGCTAATCGACTTGTTCAACTATACTTCGAAATCTTCCGTGAGATCCTGGGCGACAGTATGAACAAAGGTCATGATTCAGACGTCGAGATCGGAGATGATCAACTGGGACAAGAACAAGTAGAGAAGGTAGCTGGAAAAGTCGAGAAATGGCGTGGTAGAAGAAAAGGTGCAAAACCGAAAGGCGGACGTAAATCCGCCATGGAGAATGAGGAGTTGGTCGAGACAGGGGAAGCGAAATTGGTTGCAGCTGTGTTGACGGGAATCAACCGTGCATTACCTTTTGCCAGTCTGGATGAAGATTCGTATGTCCATCTGACTTGTTCACCGATAAATGCTGATAGGACAGATTTACACAGTATATGGATTCATTATTCAAGATTACCCATAGTGGGACGTTCAACACTTCTATACAAGCCCTCGCTCTCATCTTTCAAATTTGTCAATCCCGTCAGACAGTATCCGACAGGTTTTATCGCACGCTTTATGATTCATTATTTGATCCGAGACTCATCACGGCGAGTAAACAAGCCATGTATCTCAACTTATTATTCAAATCTTTGAAAGCGGATACCAGCGTTTCTAGGGTCATGGCTTTTGTCAAACGTCTTTTGCAAATGTTAACGTCACATCAACCGCCTTTTATCTGTGGAGCTCTTTATCTATTAGGCGAAGTGAGTTTCCATCGCTAATTTGAGTCAAATTGCTGACGTTGCCAGCTATTTTCCACTACACCTGGGCTGAGAAGAATGTTGGTGGAGCCTGAAGATGACGAGGAGCATTTTGTCGATGTTGATGCCGGTCCTTCTGATGCTCCGACAAACCCTGCACGTCCTTCTATGACTTCATATGATGGGAAGAAAAGAGAGCCACAATTTGCACATGCTGAAACGTCGTGTCTTTGGGAGCTAGTAGGTCCATCTCTATTTTCCCTGCTCCCATTGCTCTCATTCAAGTATTTCCTGAGCCCATGCTCGTCCTTTGTCGGATAAACACAAAACTCGCACTGTATGCTGGTCCGTTGAGAACTTGATCGTAAAGAGGCGTGGAAGGTCGCTGACACCAAGCTCCCTTTTATCGATCACTTCCATCCTTCCGTCTCCCTACAAGCTACCCAACTTCTCAACTCCCAGCCCCTCACTGGCTCTCCCGATATCTCACTCAACACCCTCGTGTCTTTCCTCGACCGATTCGTCTACCGTAACCCGAAGAAAAACCTACAGCCAAAAGGGGCAAGTATAATGCAACCCGCTGCGGCTGGTGACAAGTCGGGTCAGGTGGTCATGCATAAAGGTGCGAGAAGCGCGGAGATGGGTTATGTGAACGATGAGAAATTCTGGAGAAAGAAAATTGAAGATGTTCCTGTTGATCAAGTGAGCTTTTCCCTTTTCATCGTGATCGTCTTGACTGAACAATAGCTTTTCTTCCATAAATACTTTTCGTCTAAACTCAACAAGGAGAGTAAGAAACCTCGTAAACGTGTTGAGTCGGATGAGGAAGATGAACATGATCTTGAGGCTGCACCTGAGATGTCAGACGATGAAGATGATGATGATGAGCAAGTCGGTGAGGGGAGCGAGCTGGATGAGGACGAAGTGTGGAAGGTCAGTCCATTTGTTGCGTCGTAGGATGAGCTGATGATCAGGCGATGCAGGCTAGTATGCCTGATGCTGGTGAGATGAGCTTGAGTGAGGATAGCGATGATGAAGATGGGGATGGTTCCGATGTTGGGTCTATGGATGGTGAAAGTGAGGAAGACGATGATATGGAGGATAGCGAAGGCGACGCTGAGAGTGAAGATGGGGAAGAGGAAGAGAGTGAAGATGATGATGAGAACGAGGACGAGGACGACTCAGACGAGGGATCGTTGAAGAAGTCATCGGCTGTGATCGGAAAGAGAGATAAAAAGCAGAAGATCTCACGATTACCTTCACCCGATTCAGACGAATCTAACTTTCCCTCTGTGGAAGACGAGGATGATCTCATTTCTCTAGACGACTCGGATATTGTCGACATGTCCGAGTCTGAGGAAGATGATCACAGTTCAGATGATGAGATGCCGAATATCATTCTTGAGCCTGGTTCGGATGAGGAGGTAGGGAAGAAGGGAAAGAGGAAAAGGGCCGATGGAAATGAAGCAGAAAGAAAGCGGGGTAAAGTGGAAGAGGAGAGTACGAACGTTGGAGTGGAAGTACAGAAAGGAAAGGAAAGGAGAGAGAGACGGAAGAAGAGGAAAGAATTACCTACTTTCGCATCTTACGAAGATTATGCGGCGATGATCGATGGTGCTGCTAGCGAGGAGGATTGATGTAGTTAGTGGTATATATTCATGAAGAGTCATCATGACGAGCATTAGCATATGAATCAGTATACATCGAACGAGAATTCGTATCATCGGTATTGCGGATCAACAATCACATTTCACTTTCTGAACCATATACTCTCTCATTATCTTTCCATTATTTTTCTTACTCTGGCGAATTCCCATGTCCATCACCTTTTTCTAATCTTTTAGTGTTTTCATTTCCCGACCTCGATCCTCTAAGTTCCCAACTTCTATTCTAAAACTTCACATCCTTGAGGAAATCCTTGATGAGCGTCGCTACTTCTTCCAAATGAGTTTCCAATAAGAAATGTCCACCACCTTCGATAATGTTGATTTTCGCATTGGGTGAATCACGAATATACGCTTCTCCACCTTCTTTAGGGAAAATAGGATCCGCCCCTCCCCAAGCTACCAACACCGGTACTTTACTCTCCCCCAACCATTTCTGAAATTGAGGATATAGATCGAGGTTTTTACGATAATCGTAGAATAACGAAAGTTGATTTTTCTTTTGTTCTGGAGTGGCGAGATTGAGTAAAGTGTCTAATGTCCAAAAATCAGGATTAAGTCTTTCTAAACGATCTGAAGAAACTCCAGCTGTGACTTGCCATTTGGAGGTTTCTAAAGTGAACACCCCGTCTAATGCTTTAGCAGCAATTTGAAATTCTTCAGTTCCTTCTTCAGTCGACCAAAGAGTACGAAGAGGATCCCAAAAAGAACCTAATCCTTCGAGGTATGCATTACCGTTTTGAGTGATCAAAGCTTTTATAGCATCAGGTCGTTCGAGAGCTAAACGAAGAGAAGAAGGTGCACCATAATCGAATATGTAAACAGCGAATGAAGTGATGGAAAGTGCATCTAGGAAAGAACCAAGTGTTTTGGTAAGAGTTTCGAATGTTGCCGGAATACCAGAAGGGACGATGGTATGACCGAAAAATGGAAAATCAGGAGCGAGGATATGGTACTTGTCAGAGAGGAGAGGAATCAAGTTACGGAATTGAGAAGAATGAGAAGGGAAACCATGAGCGAGAAGTAAAGTTGGGTTGGAAGTAGAACCAGCTTCGACGTAAGATACGATGATACCGTTTTCAAGGTTGACAGTGCGGTAGACGGGAAAGGAAGACATTGTTTTGGTATGCGGTCAGGTTTGGTTGATAGATAGGTTACAAATGTGGGGAGTGGGTTTGAATATAGTTGAACGACAAGTTGGGAGTTTGAAGGTTTGGTCTGATTGTGAAGAGACAAGTAGTAAGTGATGCGAGTTGAGACTGGATGATTTCGAGTACAACTTTTACGGTTTATATCTCTTTCAGAAGGTACATAACGTCTCAGGTAGCTTGGTCAGCATTGGTCCGCCAATATGAGAGAAAGCAGCACGTTGGCACGTTGGACGACACCATCAAAGGGTTCCAAGGGGGATGAGGAGAGTATGGAAAACGACGCCAAAAGCCCGAAGGAATGACGACGAAACGTCATACTTTGGCGTGAGATTGGTCAGCTGACTAAGCTTACTAAGCAGCGCAAAGTGTATTCGGCATTCGACACACTTACTGCCACTCCCACGGAGTTTCGGAGTTTCGATATCATCTTCCCGGCCAAATCACCTCTCTACGTGACGGGGACGCTCGTTGTTGTGCACATCTCAGGTATATCTACTACAGTCTATTATCTTACAAAGCAACATGGAAGACGACAGGGAGACACGCGATGGAGAACCGATGATCCAGGAGACAGAGAGGCGTGAGTCCAAGCACTGTTGCTCATCTGTTCCGGGAATGGACTGGCAGTCACAAAGGGATCAAGCCATTTCTGTCAAACAGATAGCGAGAAATGGAGCGAACATTGACTTTTAGCCAAGAGAAGTGATGACCGTGAGCGTAGCACAAGTAGGGAGAGACGTAGGGATGATGATAGGCATCGCGTAAGTCCTCAATTTTTTGCCTTTACGATAATTTCATCGTCCCAAATCAATCTCCCATCAAGTTTTTTAAGTCTGTGAGGACCTATCCGGTCATCATCCCTTACAAAATACCTCAACACTCTATCTTCATTGGACAATCGAGTAAAGGTTGATTTGAACTAGCATCGTCATCACTCTCGCTCGCGTAGTCGTTCACCTAGACGACACAGACATCGTTCTTACTCTCACTCAAGATCACGTTCTCGTTCTAGAGACCGTCGTGATCGCGATCGCGATAGGGGACATAGATCTTCTCGAAGAATCTCACCTCCTGCGTTACACGGCAGAGGGCCTCGTTTAAACGGTCCCAGAGGTGATTTCGAAAAATCCGTAGGAGGACCGATGAACGCTCCGACCGAAGAAGCGGCGGCACACGCAAAAGTCAGCAAAAGGGAGAATAGGTTGTATATTGGAAATTTGGCATATCATTGCAATTATAAGGATTTGGAAAAATTCATGAGAGGATGTGGGTAGGCGTTTCACGGATCTGGATCTGGATTTTTGATTTTTGGTTATTGGTTCAGATGACTTTGGTTTGGTTTGGTTTGTTGGTTCATCGGGTTTGGAGTGCTCAAGCTTCTACCACCAAGAGTATGATTTCGCGTTGATCAAGGATAAACCTTGCGCGGTATGGAGGTGAAGCTTGAACTGCGAGGCGAGTATAACCCATGTTGTCCTGGTCGGAGGTCAGGCCAGAGCCGATCTCGTCACTCATCATCTCTCTGTCGGTTCGGAGAGAAGCAAAGTGGTAGGTCAGGTATGGTAAGGAGTGACTTTTCTCGGATAAGGATCGGTCGGACATATGGATGGAGCAGGCGTTGACTCGTGGGACAGCTGGAGGAGATGTTATCTTCACGGAAATCTTTATCACACCCGCTGGACAATCAAAGGGATGCGGGTGAGTTAGTTTTGTACGTCTCGAATGTGAGACTGATATTTAAGTATCGTCGAATTTTCAAATCCGGAAGACACCAAGAAGGCGAAAGAGGAACTCTCTGAAAAGCCCTTGTTTGGACGTAATGTCCATATTCGCGAGGTATGCTATGATCTCATATCGTGCGGAAGAGAGGCTGATCGATAGGATCGTGAAGAGAACGCCCGTTTCGGAATGGCGCCGATTCCCGGTAAAGTTGGAGTAGCCACTGGCGAATCTCGCAATTTCCTTGGTGCTCATGGACCACGCTTCAACCCTGCAAACCGTAACATCTTCGTTGGCAATGTGTGTGCTTTCAAGGTCTCATCGCTCGAGTGACTGATCACTAGCTTCCTCTGCAAGCTTCCTGGCAAGACCTGAAAGATCTCATGCGTCAAGCTGGGGAGGTGATTCGGGCCGATATTGGTGTCCATCCCGATGGTAATCCCAAGGGTAACGGAACGGTTGTTTACCTTACTCCGGAAGCAGCTCGAGCTGCCATTCGCAAGTAGCGTTTACGTCTCCCTTGTTGTGCTAATGGTCGCAGAAATGTTCAATGGGTTCGATTGGTTCGGCAATGTTCTGGAAGTCCGAGAGGTGAGCCCTTCGATATGATACGTGGGTATTTGGGTGCCGGTCTGATCATTAGGATCGTTTCGCCGGTGGGACTGGAGGTTTCCGTGGCCGCGGTGGGTTTGGTGGCTTCCGTGGAGGCTTTGGTGGTCCTGGTTTCCGTGGCGGTTTCCAACCCGGATTCAGAGGTGGCTTCAATGGAGGCTTCCGTGGCGGGTTCGGTGGCGGTGGATTTGGACGGGGTGGATTCGCCGGTAATATGAACGGCGGCATGGGTAACGGTGGTGGAGGTCGTAACTTTACCAACGATCTTTACGCCGATTACAACGGTCCCAATCAATCGTCCAACGGGGACATGCAAGTAGACCCTGCCCCGAGGCGTGAAGCGGCTGAGCCGAATCAGCAGATTTTGGTTCGCAATGTACGTCAACGTTATCATGTTTTCTTCCCCCTCCCTCTCTCACTCGGAATGTCTCTCTCAATCGGTGATAGCTCAGAAGTGTGACAGAATCGCGGGGGATAACAGGATTTGAGGCTTATGAGCAGCTGCCATGGTCCACTTCCAACGAAGATCTGGTAGAGCTATTCGAGACTGTTGGCAGCGTCACTTTGGCTGAGATCCTCTTTGAAGGCTCTCGATCAAAAGGTGAAGGTATCGTTCAGTTCACCGAGACGGCCGAAGCTCGTACGGCAGGAGACAAGTTTACTGGGTACATGTATGGTGGCAGGCCATTGGGTGAGTAACTACTGTTCCCTTGTGTCGATCGTCATCTCGGATGAGATTGCTGATGGTGCAGATGTCCAATTCAACCCTCGTTGGCATGAGTTTTCGTCTACTGCTGCTAAAGGTGGGCAGGCAGCTGCTTGAATGTGATATCAAAAGTATGCATCGGGTGTGTGAGATTTTGGTCGAACCTGTTGAATAAGATCATTCTATGTTTCTCATGTGAAATATAGAGTTGAGCCGGGTCAGCAGATCACATAGTCGACTCAAAGGGTGACAATCCATTCATTAGTCATTGCATTGATCAAAGATTCCCACTTTGTTTAAAACTGAGAAAACCTTTTTTGTTCCCCTGATGACGTTTCCGTTTCACCTCTTGCCAACATTTTTCGACGTCCACTTAGGGCACCCCCCTAGTCTCCTCGGGGCACGACCTGCCACAAACCCTGAGCTCAAGTTCATAGGCCCGGCGTTACTGAAACGCCGACCACGCGACGGACATGAACTCGCCACTGATCGGGGTTTCAGTAACGCCGAACTCCACCACAACGACGCGACATGTCTGCTCGCTACCTACCAACCTGTCCTCACCACCACTAATCTCTTTATCGTCATTATACTAGTAAACTTACGCTCTTTTTCACACACACTGTCTCTACTCGTCTCAAGGATCATTTTGATACTCTTCTCACTCTTTTACGACTACTTTTCACCCACTTCTGGCCCTTCGCTTCTTCAACTGCGCCCTTCCTGACTACCACCCATCAAATCGCTATATCTCTTTTAATATCAATTGTGGTATTCTCTCACCTCCTCGACGCTGTTCTACTGCTCTCTGCGAGTCCGTGAGTACTTGTCTCATCATCAGAAGTGAGATTCTGACTTCGATAGGTGCTCTCGCCATCATCACCCTCGCCACCGAACACCTCTCGAAGAAAAACTTTTTTTACTCTTCAACGACACATCTTCAGCCTTTCTAAACAACTCGACACTGTTCTCCTGGCCTCTGCGAGTCTGTGAGTACTCTTCTCATCGAAAAATGTAAAAATCTGATTGTCATAGGTTCTCGTCATCATCATCATTTTCGCCACCGACATCCCGGCCAAAAAAGATTTTTACTCTTCAACAACACCACCCCCGGGGTTCTCATTTGTCGACACGTATTCAGCTCGTCTTGGGCTATAACTCGGCACTGTTCTCCTGTTCGTCCTGAGCTGTGAGTACTTGTTTTATCATCAGAAGTGAAATGCTGACTTCAATAGGCCTCCTCAACCTCAAAATCCTGGCCACCTCGAAAAAACTTTTTTCCTGCGATAACACATATGCAGCGACACTGATCCCTGGTTCTTCCTGAGCTGTGAGTAGTTGTTTTACTATCAGAAGTGAAATGCTGACTTCAATAGGCCTACTCAACATTAAAATCCTCGCCACCGAACTCCTCGAAAATTTGCCACCGACATCTCGACCAAAAACTTTTTTAATTCTTCAACAACACCACCCCCCGGGTTCTAACTTGTCGACATGTATTCTGCTGGTCTTGGGCTACGAGTGAGTACCATTTTTACTGCATGAAGTAGTCAATCTGATGAGTTAGATGTCATCACCGATTCTTATCCAATCATCACCACCCTCATCACCAATTCTGGATCGTTTTTCAAGGTCCCCTTCTATAAAATTCAGTCCTCATCACTCTCGATCTCCTTCTATCGTACCAGAGACTCAGCCACATCGTCCTGGAGACTTTGACGATGACAATCTCGAAGAATTGCTCGACAATCTTGGTCTCGATGTTTACGATGAACCTGGGTTCGATCGTGTGGCTCACCACATCCACCCTCCCCTCGATCTCGAACCTCAACCAACCATGGAAGCAGCTCGACTTCATACCCAACAGGTAGCAATGGATCACCTTGTTGTTATCGTCACCCTACGCAGTAAAGAAAGCAAAGGAAAACTCGAGCTCCACTGTGTTCATGGTGGTGATGGTCGGTCACATCGTTCTCATGATTTCGAACATGTTAGAAAGCGACCTAGAACTACCAAACAAGACAACTGTCCCTTTTCGATCATATGGCGAAGAGAGACCAAGAAGATTGCTCAAGAGGCGAACCGCGAACCCCTTTGGATCCCCTACACCATCGAAAATTCTCATAATCATGAGCCTGTCCCTCTTCTTCATTACTCTTTTATTCGTCAGGCTAGTCGGTCTCCTCAGGTTCTTCAGTTCATTCAACACCTTCTCGAGAGTGAACACACCCTTCGTGGGGTTGTCTCGGCCGTCCAGCATCATTTTGGTGATAAAGTCTCCCTCACCGCGAAAGATGTTCAAAATATTCGATTTCGTCATGAGAAACTTCTTCGTCAAGGCCTCTCAGCAACTGAGGCTGCTATTACACGTCTCACCGACAACAACGATCTCTTTAAAGCGTTCAGCAACAGTAAAAAAGAACTTTGTGGACTCGTCTTTACCACTCCGTCAGCCAGAGCTATGACACATTCGTATCCTACAGTCCTTTTCATGGATTGTACCTACAGAACCAATCGATATCGTCTTCCAATGCTTCATATTGCTGGATTTACTGCTACAAATCAAACCTACACCTCTGCAATTGCGTTCTTAAGTCGAGAAGTGACTGAATGGTACTCCCTCGCGATCAAAACCTACCTCGAACTCATGGGTCCTATCAACAATGACATCAAAGTCATCGTATGTGATCGTGAGATCGCTTTACATAATGCTCTGTCTCTCCACCTCCCTCATGTTCATCTAAATTACTGTCGATGGCACATTCGCGAAAACATCAAGGTGAACTGTCGTAAAAATTTTCAGTCCCTTTATTCAGCACAGCAGTGGGTCAAGAAGTTATCTGAGTTTGGTGATTACTTCATGGTGGCTATCTGTAAAGCAAAGTCTGAAGAGTCATTAGAGAAGGCTCTGTCATCAATGCAGAACCGGTGGGGACATGAGAAGTTGGATGGTGCGAGGGCTTATGTGAGACAATTGGTGGATGAACACAAGACACACTTTGTCTCTGCTTTTATCGACAAATACCCTCATCTTGGACAGACAGCAAATTCTCGACTCGAAGGAAACCACCGAGCATTCAAGAGTCGTCTCAAAAATGCATATAGCGATCTATACGGGTTACTGCGAATTGCTCGTCTCTTCTTCGATGATCAATGTACCACCATATTAGACAAAATGGCTCAGAACCGAATGGTACAGGACACCAGTGTCAACGCTATCTTTATAGATGTCAAGAATCGAGTCTCTAACCAGTCAATTGGCCTCATGACCAAGCAGTACAAGATCGCCACTGCTGGGAATGTCAATGATGATGAGAGCAACCTGTATTCGACATCAATGGGCCTCCCTTCTGCTCGGCAGATAAAAGAAGTACTTGAAAGGGATGGTACCATTGCTCTTGCTCCTCTCCATCGTCATTGGCGTCTTCTCAACCCCATGTCCTGGCCCACCACCATTGAACAGGCCACTGCGAAAGTTAGTGGAGATATTACTGGGGTTCATCAACTCTTAGGGCCAGAGTGGGACATCGATAATGATACCAACCGAATTCGTGACCCCCACCTTCGAAGAAACCGGTTGGTGTTAGCCAAGAAGAACCTCAAGAACCTCACCACCACTCAGATCGACCTGACCACCATCGAAGACGACGATCTACCTGCTGATAATCCCTACTTTTTACCTCCTTCTCCTACTCTTCCTCCTTCTCCTAAAAGAGGAGTAAAATCGAATTCTACACAGCTCGCTGATGATGTCTCTCATACCGGTCGATTACACACTCAGTCTGAGAAATTCCTAGGTACCAAGAAGAAGGCAAATCGTCCCTGTCCCCTGTGTGGTTCAAGAAGTCATGGTCCTAAGAAGTGTAAAAGGGCTAATGAACATCGAGAGAGGGATCCTGAGGCCTATGATCGCGAGGTAAAGGCGTATGATGCTGGAGAAACGACCTGGACAGAGGGATCAGTAATGGGAACTAATTCTGCTCTTGAGAAGAAGATCGCGAGTCTTCAGGAGACGGTTCTGGGCCTGGCTAAGAGTATTGAGGACAGAGATAAAAGGGAGAAGGAAAATCAGCCTGTAGTAGTGAGGACAGAGGACAGGATGGTGAGGACAGGAGAAATGATCACTAGGACAGGTTATTCGGTGGGTTTCTCATATGATAATCACATTTCTCCTTCCCTCCTTCTCCCCCTCTCTGTCCTGCAGTCATTCCTGGCTATATTGCTCTGTCTCTGACTATATTGCTCTGTCTCTCTCTATAATGGCCTCACGATCTCGAAAATTTTCACTCTTCTCTTAGTCTCTTACTTCTAAAAGTTTCCTGCAAGCTGATTGGTCCAGGAGACACCAGGAAACGGCCAATATCAACCGAATGTGAGTCTCTCATACTGCATTTTCGGCTGTATCCGACAGGGGGTCACTAATGAGCAGGTACCCCCCATTTTCGACTTTTATCGTCCTGAGGAGAGGCACATACCACCCCCCCCTCTTCCACCTACTCTCCCTCCTCTATCCTCTCAATATTGGCCTCCCTATCCCTCCCAGGGCTCTTCTAGACATCCCTATGGCTCATATTATCCTCCTGGACATTGATAGATATGGAAAATGCATGGACAATGGCCGGAAATGACATGGTATAGCTAATACTGACATTGGCGATGAAAGAGAAGAGTGAGCAACCAGAGCTCGCGGGATTTCAGTAACGCCGGGCCTATGAACTTGAGCTCAGGGTTTGTGGCAGGTCGTGCCCCGAGGAGACTAGGGGGGTGCCCTAAGTGGACGTCTAGACCTCACTGATCACTGATCACTGACCTCACATGGTCGCTCGGTCCTCGGTCAGAAATTGATCCCGCCCCGATCGACCAAAGTAAGTCAGCTGACTGACATCTAGCACCCATACTTATCTGTATCTCTATATACTCCCACAGTCATTCGCAGAACCAGAAGCCCACTTTGCTTCTCAGAGTAGCTCTCAGTTCTGTTGTTAAAAGCTCTGACCTTTCTGCCAGACCTTGACTTTTGTCCGTGGCGGCTCCCGAATAGGTTAACAGCCCATCATGACATTCCCTCTCCGCTTCCCTTCTCTCCATTTACGACCCGCACGATTAACCTCATCAGTCGGCACCTCCTCTAGACGGCTCTTGATACATAGAAGAAACTTCGCTCAGTCCTCTATCGAAGAGACTGAGGATGTGAAAAATGTAGGGATGGACTCGGGAGAGAAAGGAATATACGATAAATTACGTTCTGCCTTTCCAGGAGGTAGGTTGGAAGTTCAGGATGTATCTGGTAAGTAACACTTTTTTTTATCTCTATCTATCTCTCCCTCTTCTTCTTCTTTTCTCCATTAGTGCTGCAGTTTTCTTCTGTTTCTATCCATTGCCTTTGCTGTTCTTTCCCTTC